CTGGAGCCTGCTTGGGATTCTGTGTCTCCTACTCTCTCTCTCTGACCCTCCCCTACTTGTGTGCATGTGCTCTCTCTCCCTCTCCCTCTCTCAAAAATAAGTAAATAAACATTTAAAAAGAAAAGAATGAGAATTTAATAAGGTGGGGCAAGAGAAGGGCTTTGCCCGGCCCTTGGTAAGTGCTCAACAAAAGCGCCAGCAGCAGAAAGGTCCAGCCCTAGGACATCTCAGCTCTGAGACTTCAGTCCTCAGAGAAAGGTGGCTGCCCTACCCCACCCCACTCCGCCCTGCCCCAGCCTCCTGTCCACCTCGTGCCCCAGGCTGCAATGTCAACCTCCAAGGGTGAGGTTAGATGTCGGGAAGGGCTTGCTGACTCTGAGGGTGCTGAGGCGGCCAGTGGCTCTTCCTGAGTATCTGGGAAATCCCTGCTGGTGACCTGGGCCTGGAGAAAGCGGGGTGGGAAAGGGGCGGGGCGGGGGGGGGTCACCTGTAGCAGCAGCTCCAGGCAGCCACAGAGTCTGTGCAGCTCAGCGCTGGCATCTGTCACTGGAGGCTGCCCGCCAGGGTAGCCCTGGAGGATGGCGGAGACGGCAGCTGCAGGGGCGGGGGCGGGGGGATGGCGGACATCAGGCAGTAGGTAGTGAGGGCTCTGACGGAGGGGCTCCCAAGGAGCCCTCACCTCTCTCCCAACTCAATCCCAGAAAATCTCTCAGGACACACTCACCTTTCAGGTTCCTGGTGAGGATGGCCCCTTCCTCTGCCATGAGTATTTCAAAATGATGTGATTCTTTGTGGCTCTGCAGGGTCAGTCCAGGAAGGAGCCTCCGGGCTCAGCTGCCCAGTGGTCTCCTTATACAGAGGAAGAATCAGCGCCTAGGCCAGGAATGGGAAATATCTTGAGTCACACGGTGAGTCAACTGGTAGGATAGACACTTGGGCTCTTCCTCATAGGCCAGCATGGGAAGGGGATGGTATGGGCCCCACAACACCAGGGGAGCAGTTCCTGGGTGCTAGGCCCTATGTTCTGTGCCTGACATCTTTGTCTTGTTCAGTCCCCATAATAACCTAGGAGGTCATTAACTCCATGAAATTTTTTTTTTTAATGTTTATTTTGAGAGAGAGAGAGAGAGAGAGAGAGAAAGAGAGAGAGAAAGCGTGAGTGGAGGAGGGGCAGAGGGAGAGAATCTCAAGCTGACTCTATGCCCAGCTCGGAGCTGGACTCGGGGCTCGATCTCATGACTGTGAGATCACAACTGCGAGATCATGACCTGAGCCGCTATCAAGAGTTGGAAGCTTAACTGACTGAACTACCCAGGCCCTAAGTGGAGAAGCTAGAGTTTGAACTCAGGTCTGGGTGTCCACACACAGGGCAACCTGATGTGAGCGACCCTGTGAGGGCTCACGCCATGAGGACACTGGGCTGAGGGACGGTCACCCCTCTCTGCCACAGGGAGCCTTGCCAGAGCAGTCATCATCCTTGAGGCGCACATTCATCCTTTCCTGGCCCCCAGCTGAGTGGAAAATGTGTGTTGTTTGAGGAAAGGGAGGCAGAAGTAAAATGAGGCCCTAGAGCTGGGACCGGGCCAGAATGCTGGGTGTGTGTGGGGGGCAGGGCACCTGGTTTTAATCCTGTGGTTCTCCCCCCCCCCAGGGGATCACAGCCTTTCTTCCCCCGTGGATCCTGGGGCTCAGAGAGGAGTACTGTGGCCGCTGGGGGCCAGTGGCTTATCCTGATGTCATCTGGAATAAAGACCAGTCATGGGAAACCCCAGGGGTCCTGTGTCTCAGACCATAGTTGCTGGAATTCGGGGGTGTGGGTAGGAGTAAAGAAACAGGGGACACAGTGGAGGGAGAAAGGGAGGGAAACAAAGGTAGACGAGGGTGGAGGGTGGAGATGGTGCTCAGGAAACACTGAGCTGGACGTTGAGAGCCCTGGGTCTTCATCCTGACCCTGCTACTAACTCACTGTGTGGCCTTAGGCTCATCATTTGCTTTCCCTGGGCCTCAGTTTCCCCATCTAGGGGGTGGACTGAGGGTTTCTGCACCCCTTTCCAGTCCAGATCCGCTTTGAACTCCATGAACACCTAGATGTGCCTCATCATCTCTCATTTCTATCCAAGTGTCCCTGCCTCTCGCTCCCAGCATTGTCCCATTTCTCCAGCCACCCCTAGACCCCTTCCTTGCTACTCACCTGGGAAGGCTGGCTGGGAGACGGAGAGCCGGCACTGCAGCCCGAGCCTGTCACTTGTGACCGTGGGTCCCGCGCAGCCTTTCCCAGAGTGCGGCCTGGGAAGTGACTCAGGCCCAGCCCAGCAGGAGCAGGAGGAGCAGAAAATCATGGGGGACATGTGGGAGAGGCGGGATCCAAGGCACCAGGGCAGAATGGGTGAGCTGGGGGATGGTACCCTTCGGGCAGATGGGGTGGCAGATTCACTTGTTGGCCAGACACCAACTCATCCAGAGCCACAGCGGCAATTGCCCCTATATGCGAGTTTCCTTCCCTTTCTCAACAGGGTCACTGGCTCTTGCCTTTCTTCCTTGTCGCCACTAGGCGGCACAGAGAGGCTGTGATTGCTGCTCCACCAGAAATTCTGTCTTTTCGAGCCTCGGTTGAACTGCGGAGCAGGTGGGGAGGAGGAGGACAGGGTCCCACCACGTATCTCCCTCCCCTTCCCCACCTCAGTCTCCGGGTCACCAGCGCCATCCTGCTCAGCCCCGCACTCACCCCTAGAAGAATGGAAGTGAAGCCACTGTGAACCCGGGTTCACAGCTGGGTTGCCCGGGTGGGCCGTGTTCTCCCACCCTGGCTGTGCCCCGCCTCCTCGAGGCCGGGGTCTTTCCACCTCCGGGTCCTCATTTTTCCAGGCTGGGATGCCCCGAGGGCTAGTATTGGGGGCCGAGAACAGAGGGGCAGGCACCTGCGAAGACTACTGTTTCACAGACCTCAGGAACCGCCTGGAAACTGGCACTCGAGGTGGCCGAGCCGGGTCCGCCGTTCCGCCGCGGACTTCCTGCCCGTCTCTCCCTCTCTGGGACACGGTCTCCCCGCGCAGAGGCTCCGGCCCCCATCTCTGTCCCCCGTGTCCCCGTGTCCCCGGTCTCTCCCTCACTGCTCCCGTCGGTCTTCTTCTCGCCCTCCCCAGACTCGGCCGGCCGCCGCCCGGGCCCCCGAGACCCCGCCGCCGCCCCTCCCCGCGCCCCCGCGTCCCCCTCCGCCCCTGGCTGCGTCCGGGCGCCCGTGTCGCCGCCCCTCTCCCGGCCCGCACTCCCCGGCCGCCAGGCGGTGCGGGCCCAGAAGGCTCCGGGCGG